ACAAAAGAAGACATATATGAGGCCAACTAACATATGAAAAAATGCTCATCATCACTGGTCATTAGAGAAATGCATATCAAAACTACATTGAGATACCATCTCATGCCAGTTAGAATGGCGATCATTAAAAAAATCTGGAGACAACAGATGCTGGAGAGGATGTGGAGAAATAGGAACAGTTTTACACTGTTGGTGGGAATGTAAATTAGTTCAACCGTTGTAGAAGACAGTGTGGCTATTCCTCAAGGACCTAGAAATAGAAATTCCATTTGACCCAGCAATCCCATTACTGGGTATATACCCAAACGATTATAAATCATTCTATTATAAAGACACATGAACATGTATGTTCACTGTGGCACTGTTTACAATAACAAAGACCTGGAACCAACCCAAATGCCCTTCGATGATAGACTGGGCAAGGAAAATGTGGCACATATACACCATGGAATACTACGCAGCCATAAAAAATGAAGAGATTGTGTCCTTTGTAGGGACATGGATAAATGTGGAAATCATTCTCAGCAAACTGACACGAGAACAGAAAATCAAACACCGAATGTTCTCATTCATAGGTAGGTGCTGAACAATGAGAACACATGGACATGGGGAGGGGATCATCACACACTGAGGTCTGCTGGGGGGAAATAAGGGAGGGACAGTCGGGAGCAGGTAAGGAGGTTGGGGAGGGATAACATGGTGAGAAATGCCAGATACAGGTGACGGGAATGGAGGCAGCAAACCACCTTGCCATGTATGTACCTATGCAACAGTCCTGCATGTTCTGCACATGTACCCCAGAACTTAAAGTGCAATAAAAAAATTTTTTTTTAACTCACACTTCTTTGAAACAAGTGAATTGGCACTTTCTTAGTTCTAGAGTACTGTGAGCTTTCTCCATTGTTGAAATAAATTGGCCACCGGAGATTGAGACTATGGAAAAAAAAGTCTTCTATTGACCAAATCCATGTACTTGTCATTTTTATCATCCTACCACAGTATTAAAAGGGCTAATATTATATAAGTTGCACTGACATTCCCTTCTTTGAGAACATTTATTTCCTGGGTTTTTTTGTTGTTTGGTTTCCTTGGGCATTATTACTTTTAAAATATTCCTAAAAGTAGAATTATACAGGTCCAAAATATGAATCATGTTACAGCTGTTGTTACATTTATTGACCAATTGTTTTCCAGGAGAAAAAATAACCCATTCAAAAAGCTACCAATAATGTCCAAATATCGCTGTCCCAATCTTTACACCACTCTCACTGACAAATAATTAGATCATACTTGTCATTCTTTTGGCTGGCCTAACAGGTGTATCTAGTTCCTACAGGTTGTTTGAACATGAATTTTAATTGCTGATAAGGCTGAATATTATTCCTTGTGATGACTCACTCTTTTTCTCTAAATATATAAAAACCACTTATTGAGATAAAATAAGCAATGATCCCACGTACACATAGATGCTTTCCACATTTTTAAATATTGATTTATTTCTATTTATAGACACAACACATATATGTTACAGAAAGTCTGAGATATAAAGAAAAGCACAAGAAATAATATAAAAATCACCCATAATCCTAACACACTTTTTCCTTTAAATTGTGTGTTATAAAAAGTTAATTTCCTTTCTTCATCTCCCCATCCATCTCAATGCCCCGCTAAAAGTAATCACTGTTCAGCATTTGTTATATGTATATTGTTCCAGGATTTTCCTATGGGTCTTTTTATAAAAATACAATCATACTAATCATTGTCTTCTGCAAAAGGCTCTTTTTCCTTAATACTCTATCACAGACATCTTTTCAAGATATATAGACCTACCTCATTCTTTTGATAGGCAGATGGTATTCTATTCTGCGTCTGTACAGTAAGTTATTAAACTGGGTCAAAGCAAGGCAAAAGGGTCCCAGCTGATACCTGAGGTATATATATTACATTTGTTTCTTGTTTTCATTTATGGTCTCATAGGTACCTGCCACCAGTTCCCTTGCCCCCTTGATCTTTCACTGCAATCACCCCAACCTCTCCTCAGCCTTGCCTCGCTCATCAGCCCTCATCTCTAGCTTTGGTGGACTGTTGAGGGCTGTCAGAGAAACCTTTCAGCCTTGCTGACCGGCTCCATTTCACAGGAGGGTTTCCAACCTCACCTCGGCTACCTAATTGTTTACCATTGCTTTTTTCTCATTCTCACTGGCTCTATTCCAGTTCCTTCCTCTCTTCTTCAATCCTGATTCTACCCTCTCACTCTGACCATATGGAGTGGTCATTAATTCACAGAGTAAGTAGAGAACACTCAAGCCTGGCCTCTCCCACCTTCTCTTCATCTCTCAGCCTGCCTCTCTTGGCCCACCCTTCCTTTCTTTCAGCCTGAGTCAGGGAAAGGGTACCTTGGTTCTTCTCCAAGGCTTACCCCTCCCTCCATCTTCAACTTTGCCCTTCCCCCTTATCCTAGAAACAAGCTTATGTAAATGCCATATTAATAATGTTAATAGTAAAAATGGTATCACACTTTATTTAACAACAACAACAAAAAAAAATCATGAAAAGAAAAGCAAGTCCCAGAAAGGCAGTACTAGCATAGTTGTACACGAACCATTTGAATCCCTCTTCTCCACTTACTAGCTGTATAACTTTAAGGAATTAGGCAACCTCTCTTTTGCTCCATTTCTTCATCTATAAAATGAGGAGTGTGGTATTTACCTCATGGAGCAGTTGTGATGGTTAAGTAATTTAGTATCTGTAAAATACTTGGGACAGTGCCTCGCTCATAGTTGGTATTCAATACTTGCTCTTATCTACTCATGCATTATTCTTTTCCACTTGGATTAACAACCAGTTCTCAACATTTATCATATCCCTGTAAGTGGAGCCAAACTTCATAAGGCACTGGAATGATACAAGATTTCTTAAAGGACCCAGGTTTTGAGTCAAAAATTAAATAATGGTAGAGACGTGGTAGAAAAGAACAGATGCACGTTCGAGGTATGTGATAAATGGCCAGTGTTTTAGTGTCTATTTGGACTGCTATAACAAAATAATGGTATTTTGGGTGCTTTATAAACAAGAAAAATTTATTTCTCACAGTTCTAGAAGCTGAGAAAAGATCGAAGAGCTGGCAGGTTTGGTGCCTAGAAAGGGCCCATTTCCATATTGACAGGGGTGACATGTCCTCACATGGTAAAAGGGGCAAATGAGCTCCCTTGGACCTGTTTTATAAGGGCACTAATTTCACTCATGAGGGCTTGACTGACATGGCCTAATCACTTCCCCAAAAGCCTCACCTCCTAATACTATCACCTTGGGATTAGGATTTCAACAGGAATTCTGTGGGGACACAAACATCCAGACCACAGCAGTCAGAACTCAGGAGAATGGATCATGGGGAGCGGTAGGTCTGGTCTGCCTTGGATTGGTAGATATGGGGTGAGAGGAAGTACCAACAGTTTTCAAAACCAATCAAACCACAAACATTTCATTTATCACATCAAATTTGCAATATACCATCGTTACCACAACAATGACTGCCACAAGCCCCCATACACTTCCCAATCATTCCTACTTCCACTTCATCCCATCAACAGAATCAGGAAAATCCCTCTGAAAATAGAAACAGAGGTCTCCCTGAAATATAACACCCATGAGATTTCCCATGCAAAGCAAATAGAAATGAGCTATGAAAGAAGCACCATGTATTCGTTCCCCCTAGATCTGCTGCCTAACTCTCAGTAGGTGGTCCTGATCTCCGTCAGGCTCTGTGTCAGTGCTGCTATCTGTGGCCTGCAGGCAGTAAGGGCAGTTCAGCTGGGCTTGATCACTGAGTATGAAGATGGGATTGTTGCACACTCTCAGAGGCTCTTGAAAGGGATCACATTTTTAAATCACTCACCTGATGCTTACTCCACAAAGAAGCATATTAAGTGGAATAATGAGAGAAGGGAGTGACTGGAGACAAGAAATCCTATAAAAACCAGGTTATAAGTGGCTAAGGCATGAGGTGACCACACTGAGAGAAGGGTGATAAAAGCAGAGACAAAAAAAAGATTTAGAGTCATAAGAAACTCAGGAGGATATAGCAACAAATTAGTCATATTGGTTAAAACTCAAAGAGGCTTGAAGATCATCATCATCATCACCCAAGATGACAGAATTTAGTAGACCAAAGGGGTTACTGCAGGTAATTACTGCAAGAAGCTCAGCCTTGACATCGTTAATTTTAGGTAAAATCCAACTGAAAACATGCAATGGGTAGCTGGAAAATCATAATATTATAGAGCATTTCTAATAGGTTCAGATATCAACCAGCTCACAATTTAGTTCCTTTAAGAGTTTTCACTCATCAGTAATGACCTGTTTTGATGTTAAGCAAGAAAAACATGAAGTAGGCCAAGAAAGATTTGGAATGCATTAAAATTAATTAATTACTAATAACATGTTAGTAATTATGAACAAAAAGTGGGAGAATTTAATCCTGTAAGTTCAAAACATAAGGATGATTTTAGGGAGAACTACCAAATTTTTCCACAAAAAGTGATTATTTGTATCACTATCAGAACGTTAGGATTATGGATTATTATTCTGGTTTCAGATAATATCTTATATACTATCTGAAGTCAGACTATGTTTTATATGTTATTTAACATTTTATATCATATAATTGCTTAAGAATAATATCAAAGTCCTAGGAATTATATTTTTAGCTTTTATTTACATTATTAGTGACAAATTCATATGGCTGATTTAACACATGAGAACAGTCATAAAACAATCAAAAGAGACTGAAACCTTTTTTGGTACAATTGTTGGTTACAATTCAACTTTAAATAAGAGAGACGGTCAGGTGTGGTGGCTCACACCTGTAATCCTGGCGCTTTGGGAGGCTGAGGTGGGCAGGTCACTTGAGCCCAGGAGCTCAAGACCAGCCTAAACAACATAGTGAGACCCAGCCTTTATTTTTTCAAAAAAAATTAATTGAAAAAAAAAGAAAGACTTACCACATTTTCCTTCATCTTTCTCAGCTTTTCATCAATCTCTCTCAGCCGATTATGCACATCCCGTTGCTCTTTGGTGTTCCTAAGTACCTTTTCTCCTGGAGTTATTTCCATATTTCTTTCACCATCAAGGTCAGCTTCCTAATTAAACACACACACACACACACACACACACACACACACACACATCATTCCCAGGCTGGATATGTGCTGTCACATACTACCTCAAAGCAACTGAGTCTTGAGGTCAGCTTTGCCTATTTCTTCCCTTGAAAGCAATATTTATAATGTTCTAGTCTTCCCATTTTAGGAGGCAAAGGTCTAACTGTACATAAAACAAGTAGGAAAACAAACCCAACTTCTGCAATCATCTGGGAAGCAGGAGACAGTGAAAAGAGCTGGGACCAGGACACAGGAACCTGGGTTCTGGTCCCTGCTCTGATACCTACCAGCTTGAGACCTCAGACTCTTCTCTAAACTTCAAGTTCACCAGGTATAAATAATAAGAAAAAAACCCCTGCCCATCCACATTATTAGAGGCAGCTGTGTAATAATGGGAAGAAAACTGGACTTGGCAAGGTCAGGAGTTTTGAATCTTCATCCTGCCTGGATCCTGATCAGACTGACCTTAGAAAAATGAATTAACCTCTCTGAGCCTGTTTCATCATCTGTAAAATGATAATAATAATGATAGATCTGGGCTAAAAATTATCACAGTATGTAGTAGGCATGCAACAAATCTTAATGCCAAACAAATGTGAGCTGAATATGTCCTCTGAAAAGAATAAGTATTATATAAGGAAAGTACTTCATTATTTATTACCTGCAATATTTATATTGACAGAACCCTATTTTCCCAAAGTTAATGTTATTTCTGGGTGATAAAAATGGGCATTTCTTGATAGGAATTTCATCCTGTATCTAAGATTAAACTTCCTTTCTTGCACACATCTGCTCTGTGTTGCCATGTAAGTAACAGGCAGGAATGGCATTTTTGAAATCACTCAAGCCATAATGCTGCTACTCCCTCATTCCTTACATAGAGATGGTCACCAGGAATCTCACTACCTAGTTGCCGATCCCTAATACCTCTCTAATCATGGCACTTGTTTCTTTCTCACTGTCTTAGTTCAGATATCTTTATCATTCACCAGTAGTTTTTAAACACCAGTGAGCTTCAGAATCACCTCCAGAGGCCATGAAAAAATGCAAAGTACTACCTTCCACCCAGGAGATTCTGATTCAAAAAGTAAGCACAGGACAGGCACGGTGGCTCACACCTGTAACACCAACACTCTAGAAGGCCAAGTCAGGAGGATCCCTTGAGCCTGGGCAACAGAGTAAGACCCAATATCTACAAAATAAAAATTAGCCAGGCACAGTAACAGTCGCCTAGAGTCCCAGGCACTTGGGAGGCTGAGCGGGGAGGATCACTTGAACCTGGGAGGTTGAGGCTGCAGTGGGCTGTGATCGCATCACTGCACTCCAGACTGGCAACAGAATGAGACTCTGTCTCAAAAAAAAAAAAAAAAAAGGACTAAGGACTAATAAACTGATGCACACCTATGTGGCCTCAATCATGTCAGCATCACCACCAGAGACGTCACTCACCACCTGCGGAAGTCCAACCTGCAGACCCTGACTTAACGACGGATGAATGAATGCATTCTCACACCATTACAGTGATTCAAATGGGCTAGGGATGGCCATCAGCTGCTTTCAGAGGACAAAATGCCAACCTGCCTCAATAAAACCTTTTGGCCTTCCAAAAAGTTTGAGACTATAATCTATAACTTTCCCTAAGTATTTTCTACAATATTTTGCCACCACCCCAAGTGAATATCAACACACCTATTTGAGAATTCAAGAACTACTAATTTACATTGCTGCTGGAGCTTCCGGCTGGTCTTGATGCTACGAGTCACCCCGTTCACTCCACTGCAGGGAAGTCACAGAACAAGGTGCAAAATCTTCATGTTCTAGGCCCTGCCAGTCTCTTCAGTCTCATTTCCCACTGCTTGAGACTCAGACTCAAATGTGCAGCAATATTCACTACTACTAGTTCCTCTCATTCCAACCTTCCAACTCCTTGTGGAGACTCCTACCCATTTTGAGCCCAATTCAAGCATATTTCCACTATAAAATATTCCCTGACATACCCACAAAGAACAAATTATTCTCTCAGCCACACCACATGTTCCTTTATTGCACTTACCACACTGCCGCTGCCCAGACAGTGACATGGCTGGCCCTATTCTCTGTGTCCCAATGTAAACTATAATCCCAAAGCTGTGTAAGCACTGGCCAATGGACTGTAATTTTGATTTTCAAAACTTTGATCAAACTAGTAATGAATTTCAGTCTCATATTGTATACAATTCCTACCAAGCAAATTACTAAAAGAGTACATCAATTTCAAGAAGTGATTATTTTTGGCCGGGCGCGGTGGCTCAAGCCTGTAATCCCAGCACTTTGGGAGCCCGAGGCGGGTGGATCACGAGGTCAAGAGATCGGGACCATCCTGGTCAACATGGTGAAACCCCGTCTCTACTAAAAATACAAAACATTAGCTGGGCATGGTGGCACGTGCCTGTAATCCCAGCTACTCAGGAGGCTGAGGCAGGAGAATTGCCTGAACCCAGGAGGCGGAGGTTGCGGTGAGCCGAGATCGCGCCATTGCACTCCAGCCTGGGTAACAAGAGCAAAACTCCGTCTCAAAAAAAAAAAAAAAAGAAGTGATTATTTTATATTTGATTTCATTTCTCACTTCTGGTAGCTTTCAATCTCTAGAAGCATCCTAATATGGTTTGGATCTGTGTCCCTACCAAATCTCATGTAAATTGTAATCCCCAGTGTTGGAGGTGGCCTGGTGGGAGGTGACTGGGTCATGGAGGTGGAGTTCTCATGAATGGATTAGCACCATACCCTCAGTGGTGTTTTCATGATAGTGAGTGAGTTATCATGAGGTCTGGTTGTTTAGAAGGTGTGTAGCACCTCCCTCTTCTCTCTGTCTTCCTCTTGCTCTGCCCATGTGAGATGTGCCTGCTTCCCCTTCACCTTCTACCATGATTGTAAGTTTCCTGAGGCCTCCCCAAAAGCAGAAGCTGCTATGCCTCTTGTACAGCCTGCAGAACCATGAGCCAATTAAACCACCTTTCTTTATAAATTCCCAGTCTCAGGTATTTCTTTACAGCAGTGAGAGAACAGACTAACACACATTTAGAGACTGAATTATGATAGGAAATATTTTTTAAAGAAAATCTAATGTTAGGGAACAGTTTGGAAAAAATGGTATCAAGTTCTCTTTGCAATGCTAAACAGTCAGCATTTTACAAACTTTTTTTTCTTTCTTTTTTTTTTTTTTTTTTTTGAGACAGAGTCTTGCTCTGTCACCAGGCCCCAGGCTGAAGTGCAGTGGCATGATCTTGGCTCACTGCAACCTCCAACTACCGGTTCAAGCAACTCTCCTGCCTCAACCTCCCGAATAGCTGGAACTACAGGCACACACCACCATGCCCAGCTAATTTTTATCTTTTAGTAGAGACAGACTTTCACCATATTGGCCAGGATGGTCTCAATCTCTTGACTTCATGATCCATCCGCCTAGGCCTCCCAAAGCACTGGGATTACAGGCGTGGCCCACTGCACCCGGCCCATTTTACAAACTTTTATGAAGATATACCTGCTATGAAGTAGGACACATGGTAATCTGAAAAAAACCCACACTGGATCTCAGTTTTAAATGGAATTATTTTAATAATCTACAACTATGATTTTTTTTCTAAATCTTGGGGCAAGCAAAGAGAAGGCACAGAGAAAAAAATTGTAAGTTGCATTTAGGAGTATTTTTAAATGTTGTTTTATCCAAAGCCAACATTGAGAAAACGGACAAACCACCAACCAAGAGAAAACGTTCATAACATGCAAATCCAACAGAGGACTTGTAACCAGAATATATCAGGAACTCCAACAACTTGATAATAAAAATAATAAAACAGACAATAATAATTAATCAAATGACAATCAAATTCTATAAAGACTTGCACAGATACTTCATAAAAGAAGCTCTGTGCATGACACATAAGAACATGAAAACCTCCTCAACAACATTAGTCACTGGGGAAATGCAATTAAACCACGAGATAATACTACACAGCCATTACCACGGCCCAGATGAAAAACTCTGTGAACACCAAATACTAGAAATTTGGGAAAAAGGAGGACTCTCTTACACAGTCTGCAATGCACAGCCATTTTGAAAAACTGGTCATTTCTTTAAAAGTTAAATTTTTGTCAATCATTTAACTTTTTGTCAATCCTGTGGCCCCAAAATTCAACTCCTATGAATTTACCAAGGAGAAATTAAAATATATGACTAAAGCCTTGTACACAAATGTTCATGGCAGCTAAAAACTGAAAACAGCCCAGGTGTCCCTCAAAAGAAGTAAGATAAACTATGGTGAGCAGCTGCCACAAGCTGGGACAATCAAGGTGTTTCTCCTTGAGCTGGGTCTTCGAGTTAGGACAGTCAAAGTGAGGAGAGGAGGCCGGGTGTGGAGGCTCAAGCCTGTAATCCCAGCACTTTGGGAGGCCGAGGCGGGTGGATCACGAGGTCAAGAGATCGAGACTGTCCTGGTCAACATGGTGAAACCCTGTCTCTACTAAAAAAAATACAAAAAGTTAGCTAGGCATGGTGGCGCGTGCCTGTAATCCCAGCTACTCAGGAGGCTGAGGCAGGATAATTGCCTGAACCCAGGAGGCGGAGGTTGCAGTGAGCCAAGATCGCGCCATGGCACTCCTGCCTGGGTAACAAGAGTGAAACTCCGTCTCAAAAAAAAAAAAAAAAAAAAAAAAAGTGAGGAGAGGAGTTCTAGGAGAGTAAAGGACAGAAGGAGAGAGAGCTTGGGGTATTTTTCTCCTTCCCCTCATGCTTTGGCATCTCAGTGTGGGCAGTGATATATCCCTGAGATGTGCAGTTTTCTTAGATTTGGCTGCATATTCATGCTCACCCTTAGAGCCACTCTACTCAGAAGGCAGGAAACACAGCAGGGCAGTATCAGGTATCCCTTTTCAATGGACGTGTTTGCTACAGTCCATGGCAAAACAATATAGGTATAAAGAGCACAACAGGTATAAGCCGC